CGATGACGGCGTCATACGTTCTCTTGCTAAAGAAGATCTTGATTCGGAGGTTTAATCGTACAGTTTCTAAAAATCAAGAGAATTTCATATAACTGGAATCTAGGAGTTCTGCGAATATGATCGCAATTATAATCTGTGTTAATCTCAAATATATACTGGAAGATGGTTAGGTGTATTTAATTACACCTTTCTCCATGACACCATATTTCGTCAAACTGCAAAGTGGAAATCAAAAATTTCAAATGTAACTAATGTTACATAGTTTCGAACTGTTGCGCTACAGGTGTTCAGTTTCCGCGTGAATCATTTTTCCTCAATATTGTGGAAATTAGCCGCTTTCCTCACATTATCCAGTTATCCATAGTCAACAAGGATTGTGTTATATCAACTGGAACAACATATAGCATTCACTCGTGAAATCTACGTGAAGAATCTTCTGATACCCCATCTAACCACGTGGGACTCAGGACTTTACCCACGGCAAACTCTGTAGAGGAAAGTCTGACTTTTTATTTTGCAATATACATCTGTTTATCGTTGTTGTTTTGATACTTCGATAATACAGCTATCTTATTTTTATATCCTCGAGACTTTTTTTCCGGAAATTGTGAAGTTTCTTATTTCTGTAATGGTTAATTCTATCAAACGTGTAAGTACCGTTAAGAGACTGAGGTCTAATACTAGTCAGCCATCTGAAGGCCTCAGCTCCGTTGACAATTCTACACCCTTTACACAAGCCACACTCAGATTTATGGTATCTGATATCATGGAGGAATTGACAGAGAATGTGGCTTGTAGCAAAAATGATTTACTGACACTTCAGAAGTTAATAGCAGAACTACAGAGCAAGTTTGACAGCATTATGCCTCTCACGCAACTGTGTGACCCATCACAAAACATCTGTCTTGAATCACTAATCAAATCCGAGCGCATAACTGACCATTTGGCTGAAGAAGCTCTTAAGAGGATTATGTCTTCACATAACGTCTTGGCCTATAACATTCCAGACAGAGAGCCGATTGCCAAACTTAAGAATTCGTGTCTAAAGGCTTGTAATATGTCGTTGACAGAATGTCAGGTTCTGCGTCTTCGTAAGAAATCTGCAAACCACCCGTGTCCTGTGCTTTTCAAGCTTAGGTCTACTGAAGAAGCCAGGAATTTTCTGAAATCTGGTAAGACAATAGGCTCCTCAACACCATACACTAACATTAGGGTTGCACCTGATTTAACACCATGCCAAAGGCGATGCCGCTCAGAAACAGTGAACGCTGATAACTCATAGGATAACTGTAGATGATGTTCCGTGCGTTATTCCGTCTAGTGAAATACCTGATCACGGCATGCAACAGACATTTTCGCAGGCACTGGCTAGTGTTAGCCAAGCATTATACAACGATATTGATGCTGACGCTGAAATGGTGGACATAGATGAGTCGACGGGAAATAATGTTGAAATACATCGTTTTCACACTGACGCAAAAGTCAAGACACCGAAACCATCAAAACCCATCCCACTGATGTTCCAACCATCGACTTATTAGTCAGTTACTCCTCAGTCTGACAATCCACACTCTGTGAAGTACCAGTCGAATGTAGCCACCCAAGTTGGCAAGTTTTCTAGGAGTTATGACAAACGTCCCATTTCCATTAAGAAAACTAAAGCGCATGGTGTCGAAGCCACAGAGGCCCTACATAGCATGTGCTGGCTGCCCTGTTATTCATCATCAGCCAGTCGATCATAAGATAAGGGAAAAAGAAGTAAATAAATTAAACACTAGACCCGGAGCAAGAAATTCCTTTGATATGAAAGAGACGAAAGCACCTCTAGGCCTTCTTTCTAAGAGAAAGTCGAATATGGTAGACGAGGCTCCTAGGGGTAGGCCTAATTGGTGTCAAGTGGAAAGCCAATTTTATCGAATCTTTAATTCTAGACAAACAGCGCAGCAAGGTAGTAGGCATTATTCTGCGCATCCACTATGTAAACCCCCTGTCAACCAGCCCACTTTTAATATTCTGTCGACTGAAAGTTATAGAAAATGCCCTCAACATCATGCACAGACCACAGTTAACAAGCCAACAGAACCCATTCATACATCTTATGTACTTAGTGGAGAGCATGTGCCGATGTCTGCACAAAACTTGCTATGGTCTGATGAATACCAGAAACAGATACCAACAATTCATTCTTATACTGGCAACAAATTACCGAATACACATATCGGTTATACCTTGGGGCAGGATTTTCACCAGCGTCAGTTAACAGAAACACCTGGAATCATGCATATAGCACGCATGATATCGGATCAATTCCTTGCTGCCACAGCGAACAGTCTACAGCTAGGGCAAGGCATATTTCCCGGGAGATAGCTGACACAGTGTCGACACCAAACGCGGATACTAATACCTCTAAAATATTAATATGATAATAATAATTTTTATTTCTGTAACAGAAACCAGCCATTTTTACAGGCATGAACATATGTACACATATTAAAACTTATGGAATATATAATATGATTTGTTAATTTAGAAATAAGTTGAATACTGGTAAATGTGAGAGAAACATTTAAAATGAAGTGTACAAATAAGGAAATAGATACATATATATCTGATTATCACACAGGTGTCTCACACAGCATAACATATTCATCCATGACTATCATCTCAAAAATCCATCTGAAGTCTTCCTACGATCCAAAGATATTGGTAAATGAGTCTGATAACATATATATAGAGGATACTCACGGATTATTTTACCAAGATGTTGTCCGCTCACTGAAACCACATGGCCAGTGTTTATCTATCATCCTAGTAAATACGAGATCAGTTCTAAGCAAACACTTAGCACTAAGTACATTAGCTTCTATATGCAGACCGTCATTGATTATGATCATCGAAACCTGGTGCATAAGTGAAATCTCCAATGACAGCCTTAATGGTTGAGAAAAACAACCTTTTTCGAGGGGACAGACGGACAGGTCTTGGGGGTGGAACACTAATTTACTGTGAACAATCCATGTGTGCAACCCAGTTTAGTAACCCAATCCTGTCACAACTCAATGACTCGATCTGGGTCGAAATAAAAGTTGTCAGACGTAAACCTATACTTGTGGGTTGTGTGTACCGGCCCCCTTCATCTAGCAGGGAATATGATAATATGCTTAGCAGTATGTTTAATGTTACAGCCAATCTTCCTTTCAGTTATAAAATTATCGGAGGCGATTTCAACATCCCAGAAGTATCATGGCCTTCACTTCGAGGACCCCAAAGGTATGATAATCTCATGAATTCCATCGTCACAGGAGGGTGGACGCAACACATAAATTCACCCACTAGATCCGCAAATATCCTAGACCTTATTTTCACGAACAACATAACACCATCTACAGTACATGTGGGACATGAATTTCCAGGTAGTGACCATAGGATAGTAGTTTGTTCTTTTGACATCTTTCCTGAAACAAAACGCAGAGATGAAGCTGGCCAGATACATATGAGATTGTACACACATGCTGACTGGGACTTGTATCGGCACCTAATTAGATGTTCTAATTGGGACTCGTACTTTTCGAACCAGTCCTTAGATGCAATTCTTAACAACTTCTATCAGAATATTAACTCAATTCACGACGTCATTGCACGTGATAGGATTATATTCCGACATCGTTTAGAAGAAGTCTACGAAAGCACTCAATAAAATAATCCAGGTATCATGACTTATCGTCGCCAGATTGTACAACTTAGAGAACGATGAGATCGTGGATTTCCCACGTAAAACAGACGAATGTTTAAGTGACATAATTTTCACCACACATGAGATCGATAAAGCTGTCGCAAATCTTAAGCTTAGTAACACTACCAGTCCAGATGGTATATCTTCCATTCTACTGAAAAACGGTGGTAGTGGCATGAGTTTACTCTTACTCAAGCTATACTCAATTTCATTAAGCGATGTGACATACCCTAACTGCTGGAAGAAGTCTTATACTGTACCTATCCATAAATACGGGTCTATAGCAGATATCGGAAGCAGAACTACCAGTGAACACTGACCCCCCGACGAAATCAGAAGTCCTGAATGCAATCAAGATGCTTAAAACTGGGAAAACACCGGGACCAGATGGAATCCCAGCAGAGGCTTTGAAAATAGACCCAGAGACAACAGCGGACTTGATGACACCACTACTGGAGAAGGTGTGGAAAGAGGGCAAAGTACCCGAGGATTGGAAGAACAGTTACTTATTCAAACTTCCAAAGAAAGGAGACTTAAGTCAATGTAAAAACTGGCGTGGAATTATGCTTCTGTCCATTCCAAGCAAGATACTAAGTCGCATCATCCTGGAGAGAATCAAACAAGCCCTAAATGAAAAACTTCGTCCGGAACAGGCTGGATTCAGGAGAAACAAATCATGTATTGATCAAATCGTCACTCTACGGATCATCATTGAATAAAGCTTGGAATGGCAGTCACCTTTCTATCTCAACTTCATCGACTTTGAAAAGGCCTTCGACAGCGTCGATCGAGAGGTCATTTGGAAACTACTTCGCTACTACGGGGTCCCATCGACAATTATACACCTCATCCAACAGTTATACGACAATGCTGCATGCCAAGTAATCCACAACGGGAAACTTACGGAAGCCTTCGAAGTGAGGACGGGAGTGAGGCAAGGCTGTCTACTATCACCAATGATCTTCCTGATTGCAATTGATTGGATAATGCGACAGACAACGGCAACCAACGAGGGAACAGGCATAAAATGGACTGACACAAAAGACTTGGAGGATCTGGATTTCGCCGATGATATATGTCTGATTTCCCATAAACTGGAAGATATGCAAGTGAAAAGTAACAAGTTGGCAGAAGAAGCATCAAAGATAGGACTTCACGTGAACATAGATAAAACAGAGATGATGAAGATTCCTAGCCAACATCAACAACACCAACAGACCACAATAAGCATAAATGGGAAGAACCTGAAAGAAACAACCTCCTTCACCTACCTGGGAAGCATCGTCTCAACTACAGGCGGAACTGACGAGGACATCAAAGCCAGAATCGGAAAAGCAAGACAAGCTTTCATTACTCTCAAATCTGTGTGGAGGTCAACAGCACTCAGCATCAAAAATAAGATCCGGATTTTCAACTCCAATGTGAAGTCAGTGCTACTTTACGGATCAGAGACTTGGCGAGTCATAAAGAGCATCTCAAACAAACTTCAAACCTTCATTAACAACTGTCTCCGCTCAATACTCAAGATCAGATGGCCAGAAAAGATCAGCAACAGGGATCTCTGGGAGCGAACCAATCAGGAACCGATTGTGAAACAAATAGGCAGAAAGAAATGGAGATGGATTGGCCATACGCTGAGGAAACCATCAAGTGACATCACTAGACAAGCCCTCGAGTGGAACCCGAAAGGGAGGCGGCGAGTTGGTCGTCCAAGGGTGACTTGGAGGAAGTCATGCGAGGAGGAGATGAAAGCATGTGGACAGACCTGGAGCAGGTTGAAAAAGTTGTCAGAAAACCGAAGTCAATGGAGGTGCGCAGCTGAAGCCCTATGTTCCTCTAGGAACTAAAGGATACAATAATAATAATAATATAGCAGATATCAACAACTACCGCCCCATCAACATTACGTCTGGAGTTTCACGTGTAATGAAAAAGATAGTTAACACGCAAATAATACAGTACTTGCTGTCAAATGACCTAAAATTCACATCCCAATGCCGTCTCATAAGTAGAAGGTCGTGCATTAAATGCAACTCAGATTATTCTGACTACATTAAACAATGCATTGATAATGGGTGTCAATGCAGTTGAAGATTGAACGATCAATTCTTGGTTGTTTGCTCACAGCCAACTTCCCAATTTTCGCGGAGGCATCAATACGACAGTCATCGTCTCATCGGTCGCTGTTCAGAAAGAAGAGCGAAACATCGTCAGAAGTAATACTATGATATATTATTGTAATATTTGTTCACAGACCCTAGTAAAAACATTACTTTTATATGTTGGTGTAACAATAAAGAAATCTCAAGCGGTAGATCGGTGTTTTGGTATTTTCGTCCGTTATAACTAAGCGTTTCTGAAAACTTCAAGGAACAGCGTGGGCCCGAGCGTAGCGAGAGCTGGGCATTAACGGTTTATGAGACGTGATTGACAGTTTCTGACGATGGAAACAGATCTGGCGGATTCAAACAGTTGGTGAAAGTTTGGATAGTCGCCGTTCATTTTTCCTGGTGCCGGTCAAGTCCTCTTTAAACAAGCGATATCTGGAACTTTTTCGCAATTGGGTCAAGTTCAACAATGCCTGGGTCAAAGAAGGGACAGAGCGTCTTGGATGCAAACAGGAAAGTAAGTCATGGTGACTTGTCTGTTAATTGTAACGATGTGTCTGATGTTAAACATGATATGGTTGATGTTACTTTTTCGCCGTTCAGGGATAATAGGAACATCAAACTCCCTGAATTAGAACCACGGTGTTTTGATGGAAACCCGTCTGATTATTTACAATTTGTAAAGGCGTTTGAGATCATATTGAGTAGTTTTTTATTAAGTGATGAATTGAAGTCAATGTATTTGATGAGATATTGCACTGGAGATGCTTCAAGAGCTATACACTGCTGTAAGTTTATGAAGCCAAAAGAGGGCTACGATGAGGCTATGAAGATATTACGTCAAAGGTTTGGAAGACCTTCGATGATTGCAGGGAAATTATTCGAGGCTGTTAAAAGTAATGGTGGTCAATTACAGGATGACTCCCAGGCACTCACTGAGTTTTCAGATAATCTTATGACTTATGAGAATACCTTGATTTCTATGAATTGCATGAGTGACCCCAATTGCAGCTCAGTCTTAGAGGTAATTGCGAGACGCCTACCTACTCGACTGCAAAGGAAGTGGGTGAAGATGAGCTCCCGTATGGAGGAAGAGGGTATCGAGCCAAAATTTGATGATATCCTGAAACTAGTAAAAGATAGTGTCAATCAATCGATGAGCAAGTTTGCCAGTATATTGAATCTCACCCCTAGAATAGAGCAGTCTGAGGGTAAAACGCAATCATTGATGACGAAAGGGTCTCAGAGAGGTGGATATCAAGAAGGCACCATGATGTCCAGTAATGCATATAGACCTAGTGAGTGTAACAGGTTTCGTAGTACATCCTCAACAGATAAGTTACAAGATACAAGACGAACACGGTTGTGTTTCACACGTTTGCAAGAAGTGCGTACAAAGGTGAACTGTGAACCAGTAAGCAAGTTCAGTGATAAGCTAAATGTAAACCCCAGGCCTGACTCCGAATTGTGTGACGATAACGGTGTTGTGAAGAAGTCTGTAGTTGCAATTACTAAGCCATTGTTGAATAGAGTGTCACAGAAGAGAGTTGCTGCTTCAGAGTGCAGTTCTGACCCTACAAGTTTACAAGGTGTTACTAGTCAGAGTGAAGTTATAAAACCTTTAATGATTTGCGAGGAGGAACCAAAACTGTCTACTTCTGTTATTAAAGAGTTTGAAAATGATGAAATTGACGGTAAAGTGAATATTCGTGATAATGATCATGATACTTCACAGTTGTCCTTGGTTAACAATGATGAGATGAGGGATATGCCTACTACTGCTAAGTTGAAAATAGTTTCTGTACAACTTGAAGGTGAAGTAGAATTGAACGCAGATGCAGTTCCAGAAGGTGTGCATACTTGTGAGACAGTCAGTGTAACTGATCAGCGTGTAGCCCACCTATCATCAGATGCTAGTGGTAAACCGGAGCTGATAGTAAAAGACAGCAGTGGTGGTGGTCTTGCAGGTAGACAAACTTCTGAATGTCGAGCGACAACAGCTTTTGATCCACCGAAAATTCATCAACTGATATCAATACGACAGTCATCGTCTCATCGGTCGCTGTTCAGAAAGAAGTCAGGAGACAACCATCAGAAGTAATATTGTGATTTATTATTGTAATATTTGTTTTCAGACCTTAGTTCACTTATTCTTTTTATATGTTGGTGTAACAATAAAGAAATCTCAAGCGGTAGATCGGTGTTTTGGTATTTTCGTCCGTTATAACTAAGCGTTTCTGAAAACTTCAAGGAACAGCGTGGGCCCGAGCGTAGCGAGAGCTGGGCATTAACTGTTTATGAGACGTGATTTACAATGGTCTTTCGGTAACAACATTGTTTCTCGACGTTAGCAAGGCCTCCGATATAGTCCCACATATCAGTCTCTTAACGAAACTCCAATCCTACGGAATAACTGGTAAGCTTCTCAAATGTATATGTTCTTTTCTCACAGAAAGTGTGCAATTAGTCAAAATCAACCACCAGCTCTCTTTCTCAAAGCCGATAACCAGTGGTGTAATACAAGGTAGTGTTCTTGGCCCTATTCTATTCCTCTTATTTATAAATGACATAGTCTCTGTAATGAAGTATGGCAAGCCATACCGTTTTGCAGATGATCTCAAGATAGTATATGATAATGGGTACGGTGATATGAGCGTCGAAAGCAAGATCCAACAAGACTCAAACTATCTAGGCGTTTGGAGCGCAAAGTGGCAACTTACTTGGGTTTTTTGTAAATGCGAAGACAATATTTCTATATATCTTGATGTGCTCCATTGAATGACTGGTTATCATATTGTTCCCACAAACCAAAGACAGAAACGTCAGCAACCACGTGATTTAACCATAAACCAAATTTATGAAATTTAAATAATGCTTATCCATGCCTGTACATTTGGTGTGTCCTGCACAGTAAGAAAATATGTGTATTTTATTAAAACGTTATTATTAAGTATGATTGCTAATAGTATATATAATTAATCATATTGATGATGCCTGTAAACTGGCATCCCTCATGTACAAAATGAGAGTACACTATTATTGTTAATATAATAATACTTATTAATCACGCATGTTCAATTCTTAAAATTAGATTGTTATTAAAATACTTAAAATGATTAAAATATTTATGCATCAAATGTTCTCTTGCTTTACCATGCTTGTTTCCCTTATAACACTCAATTATTGTGCCTAGTGTATTATTTGATATACGAATTATATTATTGATTATACTCTTATCATATATGGTTTGATTTACTCTACGGCTCCCTGTAGACTAACTGCCATTCTTCAGTTTACACACACTGCAGTATTGCTAACCAAATGCCAAAATTTTGTTGGTTCTGTGTTAATATCTTTTTATAATATATCTAGACACGTTACTTTGCAATGTCAGATCTTTACTATATATTAGTACACTAAGTCCTGCCAACCGACCTCACCTTCAGTTCATACTACCTACATTGAACCCTAACTATAGTGTTCTGCTGAATCTTGCTCCACTATTCACAAAACCTATTCTTTTTACTCTTTAAGTTTTTAACTTCTTACAAAGTAATCTGTTCATTAGGATGCATGCACACATATATAATATGTTTATACAGATGTACGTGGAGATCTATTGGAAGCACTCATTAAGAAAGCTGGGGAGATGGAATATCTGGTAGGAACACGTCTGGTACCAAGCAATATATTTGCGGTAGCCATAATAATCATAGTCTCAGAGCCTAACATCAAGAATATCAATCACGTCTCATAAACCGTTAATGCCCAGCTCTCGCTACGCTCGGGCCCACGCTGTTCCTTGAAGTTTTCAGAAACGCTTAGTTATAACGGACGAAAATACCAAAACACCGATCTACCGCTTGAGATTTCTTTATTGTTACACCAACATATAAAAGTAATGTTTTTACTAGGGTCTGTGAACAAATATTACAATAATATATCATAGTATTACTTCTGACGATGCTTCGCTCTTCTTTCTGAACAGCGACCGATGAGACGATGACTGTCGTATTGATGCCTCCGCGAAAATTGGGGAAGTTTGTTTTGAGCAAACAACCAAGAATTGATCGTTCAATCTTCAACTCCATTGACAAAGAAAGGAGGGAGGGTGGGTCTAGCTGATCAGTAAATATGTTGGTGTTCACTAAGGTGTATCGCACCATTCTGCAGGAAGAGCAATATGCAATTTGAAGGCTCGAGATATGAGAGCTTATATCTTTATCTTGAGAAAGGTAATAATGAGCGCCTTGATAGATCATGCTTCTACCTTTAAATTTATACCATTCGCTCAGCCTATTGTTGGGATTGGACCAAGTGAGCTCCGCGCAGATTTATGGGGCATCTTATAAATTAACTTGCTATCCATTGTCACATCTTCGAATACCACTTCACAACGTCTTACCTCATTTATTTTCCAATAACTTCTTTACTTGATCCTCATTATATTTCATTAAACCTAACATTCTATAGCTCTTTATGAATTTGATTCGACTTATTCCTCTGCTAATCTCTGTAGGGTACGGTTGTGCTCCAAATATTATTATTATTGAATAGACAACGGCTATGAATTAAAAACTACTCCTTGAAAATATTTGTAATGCAGCCATATGTGGACATGATGATTGTACGAACAAGACGTGGAGCATTACACATTGGAAATGAACGTTGGCAGCCTAGAAAGTTTCCTTTATTAATGCATTTATTAATCATACTTGCACTTACCTATTTCATTACACTTTATTGATTCACCTTAGCACTTTAACTTTTCTAAATTAGGTTTCAAACCCTTGGAAACGTCGTACGTAAGGCGAACTGCCCGAATCATTGGGCTACCGAAATTGATTTCTTCCAAAATGCTTAATTTCATCTCGATTTATCATTGTTTTAATCGTCCAGTTATATCAAATGACCTATACATAAACTTTCGCGATGGTTTAACATGCTCCTAAGTAAACTCTGTACAATTCCTCAACGAAATGAAGGTATACTTCAGAATATTACTTTACATGTGAATCCTGTGTGAACATTAAAGTACTTTGGAACTGAATACGCTGAAAATTTTTGTACCGTTCATTCGCATACCATCTTAAATAAAGCTGACGAGTTCTACCGAAATTTGATGAATTCATTAAATCCTGCTTTATTAACCTTTATTGCTTGTTTTAAATTCGTATCGGAAAATAAATGTTTACCATTATTATTATTATACTTATCTCAATATTGGTTGGTCATCGTATGCCTACGACCACGAGATGAAAACGAGACGAGGTTGATTTCTCGCGCAACCTGGAGGACAACTGTTCAATTCAATAACTATACGGCCTGGCGCAAACAATAAGTGTATTTAATATATATATATATATCAAATATTTAACTGTTGAAACATTATTAACTTGTAGACAATCTACGATTTGATATTATCATATCATTATATCATATCGTGCCTGCAAAATGGCATGTATTTTCATGTAAATTTATATGTTTGTATGATAATACACATTATTTTTGTTATAAAGAAGCAACTGGTTTTCAAACTGTTTTCAATATTTTACTCAACCTACCTATACAATCCGCCATGCAGACACAAATGGCGCAAATGGAGAATTCTGGAATCGACCTCGGCACCATTTGATGCAGTATTACAACTTAACATGACCTTATCTAGTTTTCGCCTCCACAATCAAATTTGTTTCCTGTTATGAAACTACGATTAGACTGCTGAAAAATGGAATAAATATATCACTGATCTCAACATAATACATCAATAATCTTTAAGCCAAGGGTGCTGATCACAACAGAGTTATATAGGAGAATTGACTTCAAGCTTTATTTTTCCCAGATATCCGTATCACATTCATCTGATGTCCGGGTGTTTTGTTAATGCGAAGGCAATATTTCTATATCTTTTTATGTGCTACACAAACAGACTTTATAGCAGACTGTTCCGACTGGCTCTAATGTCAGAAAGAACAGCCAAACTGTAAATCCATTATACATCAAATCATGTGCAATTTATATAACAACTTATCCATGCCTGTACAACTGGTATGTTCCTGCATAAACAGGGAGAAATATACATTATTACAAAAGAACGAAGAGAGGTTCGAGTACGCTACCTTGAATTACGCACGTTGATAGTAGAAAAAGTGTCGTCAGTTTTAGCAGATCGAGACTGAGCACACATAAGTGAATTAAACCTGTCAGACAACTCTCAGTAATTGTCAATGTCCAGCTCTTACTACGCTGGACCTCACGCTGTCCCCGAAACATCTTACGAGCCAGTGTGTCCTACAGATTCTAATCTTTCAGACCTTTGAATGCGCTACTCATCAAACTATCACTTAAATCTTGGCAATAATTCTTCAGCGAAGAGCTGTTATACACCGTTGTAGCTTAACTTTCTAGTCCTTCTATGAGGCTAAGACTTACTCTTTTCATTCTAGTACTTCGCCCTCCTAAGGTCTGGTTGTGGTGATGAAGGAAATACGACAACAACATCAACGTTTCAGCATAGCTATATTTTCGTTGAAACTTCATGGTTTCTACGGTAGGACCAATATGGTTAGCATTATATACCGCAAATGTACATTACCATCCCAAGGACTCTATCGCTCATTCTTGAATACATCTTGTAAATGTACCTTCAATGATGTTTTATCCATAATTCCATTTTGCACATACGGACTGTTGATTGGTTGACCATAACTATCATCAGGAAACGGAATGAAGTTCGGGTCACCGCCCAACCTTGTTGGTGACCTTATTAAGGGATTTACAATTTGTCATTTACACGAACCTGTTCTGCTTGCTTGTACTACTACTACTACTCAACTATTTAAACTTTTGAAATGGTGCCTATTCACTGACACTGCAATATTGCAATTCATACCATATCCTATCATGCGCGTAAAAATGACATGCATTTCATACAAATTTGCCTGTTTACACAAAATATAAATTGTGATTTTCTCGGCACACGCGATATGTCAAATTCCAGTGGAAACTCTCAATACGGTAAAAAGCATCAAATAATAACATATATCGGGCACATTTTCCCTAGTGATGGTGTTGATCGAATGTTAGTTTTATGAGTATTTCATGATACGTGTAAGACTTTGCAGCCATATTTGAAAGTCATTCGATTTACTGGTAAGTTAAATTTGGAGAGGCAGTGGTTAAATCGGAAGTATCATCTTGCTGTTCTGGTTTCTTTAAAAATCTGGGTAGCCTTCCGAGTTCCCTACATTGTACGAGCGTTTCATGCGCAAATGTTTGTTTTGACTTCAAAGTAAGAAGACAAATCGGATGGGTGTCTTTCCAGAGGCTTTCAGAAGCCGGCCACATTCTAATTAAGACGTATTTTATGTTGATAGTTTCGGAGTACTCTGAAGTTTATGTAGTGTCTAGATTGGTTTTCCGTGATTGAATCGAAATCCACTCCCAAAACTCCACCTTCTCACAGGCTTACAACCGGCTAGAAACTAAAGAATATGTCGAAAGTTGAGGTAAATGACTGTAGCACTTATTTGCCAGGTGGTGATGCACGTGCAGTACCATGTCTGAGCTAATTAATTATTGAGGTTCCACATGTAGTGAGACCGAACTCACCTCCCTGTCACCTGGTTGTCGATGTCAAGAATCCGGGCATTCACATTCACTGCAGACTCCGCCATGCTGATATACACCAGATAGAACATGCCATCCATCAAAACTTTGGGTGGCCACTGTGGCATCATGGTGTCTCTGAGCTCTATCACCTGTGATATCTGTGGCTGAGGGAAGCCACCCTACAGCCATCGCGAGTGCTCCTCATAACCATATTAACACAGGTACAGAAGCAAAGATTGGGTGCTTGTATCATGGAGGCACTCACAACTTCGAAACGAGAATACCGGAGTGTGAAACGGTGCAACCACTCTTGGTCTGAATTTCAGTGGGCATCGAATTTCTCTGCTCGGGACCCCACAAACACTACACTGTAACCGCAGTGTCGTTCTTAAGAGTCAATTTATTGCTAATATCTGCAGTGCTTTCCGTACGACTGCGTTCGGCCCACATGGCTGTTTATTTCGCAACGGAGAGTGATTTAGTTTTTTGGTTCATTAACGTTCTCAGTGGAGCAGGGCTTCAAGCTAGGGCTTTGAAGTTTCGGTAGCAGTGGCATTTGTTTTATGGGGTGGAGTTACTAGCCTAATGCACAACCTTCCCTCTTTACTAGTTATATTACTGGCTTAGCGGGGCAAGGGAGTGCATCGGCCAGATATAGGACCCTGGAACACAAGCATGGCTGTTGGCTTTTCTACCGTTAAGCCACCGAGAGCTGAGTGGTTTACTGGAGAGCACTAATCGGACAATTAGCGCCCTTCTTCGCCATTCTCTCTGTCGATTGACGATAAATACCTCGTATGATGTAATATCCCTTCCCCCACTCCCCGACCACTCCTCCGTTCATCCATCCATGGACATTTCTCCTACTCCACTTCTGTTTACTCACGAATCACATCCCGTAGTTGAGGTTCAAACACCAGTCCTATCCTTTGCTCAGTTAGGTTCGAGAATCGCGTAATTGATTGGCAATAGCCTATGATAGGGCATGCACTAGAGATGTGTCATCTAGCTATCGGTGTAGAAACACATACGGTCTTCCTATTTGTGGATTTTTTTCACTCAATTGGCATTTATTTTCATTTCTGCTGCCCATCAGGATGAAGGTGAAAATTCTACTCCCCATCTGAGAGGCCATTTGAAATCACGCATGCACAACACCTAAATACGTGTTTCATGAAAGATTGTCACTGTTGCTGCTCACTTTAGTCAGCTGGGACCCTACCGTGCATTCTATCAATACAGCCTTCCCAAATTCTACAAACTAGCAGCTTGATGAACAGATTATCAAGTCTCCTAAACTTGACACTGAGGAGAGGAGACAGAGAAACGAAGGGAGACTGTATAGATTGCGAGGGATTCACTCCCACTCTTTCAGTTTGATGCAGGCTAACTTCACGCATGCTGTTCAATATGTGTTCTGCTTTGTTTATCTGTCTGCTCATCCGATTGTCTAAAAACATTGGCGGGCTCCTGAGAAGCCACTCAGCTCTTCAGACTCAGATTTATTGGTTACTATGAGTGAGAGCATAAAAGTTGTGTGCCGTGTGAGGCCACTTAATGAGCAAGAGAAAGCAAACGACAGCAAGTTTGTGGTGTCATTCCCCGGTGATGGAGACACAACTGTATTTCTTGGGGTATGTTTGATGGTTTTCAAACTTGTGACAACTCTTCTATCTAGGGTAAAATGTTTAGCTTTGATCATGTAGTTCAGCCGAAGGCATCTCAGTTAGAGGTGTACGAAGTTGTGGCCAAGCCTATTGTTGCAGATGTGTTGAATGGATATAATGGAACAATATTCGCCTATGGTCAAACATCGAGTGGAAAGACTTATACTATGGAGGTATGACATTCTGTTTTCTGATTGTTTCTCCTCAGGGTATTTTAGGTGACCCAGTTTTTCAAGGTGTTATCCCGCGGATAGTTGATGATATATTCAACCATATATACCAAATGGACGAGAACTTGGAGTTCCACATTAAGGTAATTTTTGTGGTGCTGCTCTTCTTATCTTCAGGTTTCTTACTTTGAAATATACATGGAAAAAATCCGTGATCTGCTTGATGGTAATTTTTTCGCTCTAACTTATATCTTGATTCAGTTTCAAAAACAAACCTACCGGTGCATGAGGACAAAGACCGAGTTCCTTACGTGAAAGTAAGATATAATTCCTCCTAACGAGAATGTTTAAGGGTATCACGGAAAAGTTTGTTTCCACTCCAGAAGAGCTTTATAAAGCGATTGACGAGGGGAAGGCTAACCGTCATGTAGCCGTGACGAGTAAGTATTCTTAGTATATGTCGTACCTGAGTGTTAGCTAGTCGTGGTGGTTTGACTGAAATATTGCTTTTTTGTGCATGAAATTCAAGTTATCTTGGGGTTTATGTGACGCTAATTTTTGACTTCTTATCCATTTATAGACATGAATGAGCACAGTTCTCGAAGTCACTCAGTTCTCCTGATCAATGTTCGACAAGAGAACTTGGAAACTCAAAAGAAACTACATGGGAAACTTTATCTTGTTGACTTGGCTGGTAGTGAGAAAGTTGCGAAGACAGGCGCTGAGGGTACTGTGTTGGACGAAGCCAAAAATATTAACAAATCACTTTCTGCTCTTGGTAATGTGATCAATGCACTTGTGGAAGGAAGCGTAAGTTTATGCTCTCAGGTTGTGGTGGTGGTATTGTAGCCAGTGTTGACTTTGAATTTCCATGTGATTAAGACGCATAAGATATTGAATTGTTCTGTGTTGATCACGCCTGTTTGTATGTGCTCGCTTGTTAGCAGAGTTCTGTACTGTGTGTTTCTGAGGCGGAAGAACCCATCACACTAACTCATATATTTAGCTTCTACTGCGACTAGAATCTCTTGTCTGCATATGTTGTGCTTATTTGAAGATGACTGCCACTACCTTATCAAGCTATTGATCTGTTAAATGATTTCCTGTTTTAGTCTCACGTCCCTTATCGTGACTCTAAACTAACTCGCATTCTTCAAGAATCTCTTGGAGGGAATGCACGAACAACTATGGTGATCTGTTGTTCTCCTGCTGGTTATAATGAAGCCGAAACGAAGTCGACCCTAATGTTCGGTATGCGAGCCAAGACCATCAAGAATCTGGTAACGGTGAACGAAGAAATTACGGCTGATGAATGGCGTAGGAGGTATGAGCAAGAAAAAGAGAAGGTTGGTAAATCACATACTATTGTAAGTCATCTGGAGAGTGAATTAAAACGTTGGCGAGCAGGTAAGGAATACTTACTGTGACTGTTTTTTGCTTAAGTTTAACTTGAAAGTTTTGAAATTAAGGACTCAGAATTGTTGATATCGTACCAATTACGGGAATTCAACTTGAGCTGTTTCTGCATGACAGTTGTGTTGATTCGTCTTTTCGTAAATTGTATCTTTTTGAGTAGGAATAAAGAATGTAAAGATGGGAATGTGAACCAATAGCACAGAGGGAAAGTAAGATATTGATGTGGGAGTATACTTGAAATATTCAAGGTATCAGCAGCATAAAGTGACTGAGTTGCCCAGAGCAGATATCTCGTGTATCGGACCGTAAGCCACAAATATTTTGTGAAGACTAATGTCGTTGGAAACAGTTATAATTCAATGTGGAGAAATGACGTGTAGCAGTTAAGATCACTAGTGGAGTAATATTCTATTCTACTTTGGTATTGTGACAAAGTGGTCACAGGAAATCATTCCAATCATCACCCCTATCACATTGAACTCGTGTGTATGGGTTGAGGAAAGGTGTAATAATTCCAGCGAACATCGTGCATAAATATAGAAGTTGACTTGAACCTAATTTTTGTTGTCATATAATCTGTGTTATATGTTAAATTTCAGGTGAAACTGTTAGTGAAGCTGATTGGTTCACGGAAAGTCAATATGCTGGTGCCCTAGATGATACAAGAGATTCGACAACTACATCCAGTGTCCCCAGTACACCTATGCTAGACAGCGTCACTACTTCCACACCACGATCTGCTGCTCTCACAAATGCATCTCCAGGTAGTCTATTTCGTCTCCTGTTGGTTATTGTCCATTCATAATATTTTGTGTTAATACTATTTTTTACTTTCATTTGTCATTTCGCCTTATGTTATTGATGAGTTTTGTGTAAGTCGGTGAATCTAGTGACTTCTAACTTCCCTTCTCCACATTGTTTTGTTGGTGTAGTGAAGTAGTGATATTTTTCTTCTCAGTTGGTGAGGAAGTTAGCACTTGAGGTAGCTTCGTTTTCCCAATGTAGACATTGGTGGTAGGACTCTGTAGTTGAGGTTGCAGAAGCTCTCTGCGATCTAAGACGAAGCGGATTGCGTCAATTGACCGACAGCGTGGCTCTTCAGGTGTTTCAAGATGAGGGTGGTGAGTAGTTGAGTGGGTTAATTGGTGTTCTAGTCAATGTGGTGTGGTGGTCTTAGATAGTTTCATCAGATTTGTGTAGATGGCCAGGCTTCCCCTGTGCTGATCACAGGGGGATCAGACTGGTTGATATTGTATCTAGGATACTTTGGGAAATGAAACAGTCAAGCATACAGGCTTCAGTTCTAGGCAAAGGTGTATTATGATTTCCTCTCTATCCAACAGGTTTTGAGGACAAGCTTGTTTTTTAGAGTCCAGTATTTGACATATTTCTTGGCCTACACGTAGAATTTGACTTCATCTGACTTTTTGAGAAATGATGTTGACTTATTCCAGCAGACCTACTCGGGTATGTGCAGCTGTTTTGAGGGTATATGGAAAGTTGTGTTCGGTTGGCGATGATCAGTGTGCTTGCACTAAGAACGCTCACTGTCACTATCTGTACCTAATTTAGTTTGATGAATGACGTATTGGTGTTTCTTTTACATTGGTGTCAGTAAGTAGTTGCAAGTAATTCTCTTACCTCTCGGTGCTCGTCAGAAAGATATACCGTCAACATCGGAGAGAGCCTGTGATTTTCGGTGATTTGTCAGTCGTTACCGACATCTACAACGTTACTACCAAGCTGACCTGACGTATGATCTTAGTGACAGCATCATGTACATGATTAGTTTTCATCGACGCTTATGACTGAAGGAAGTTTCGAATTGGCTACGGTCGAGTGACCATTGTGCACTTGTGTCAGTGTAGTGATTGTTGGTGTGAACATGTGAGGGGTGTTTAGACCGTCTGGCTGAGCTGAGGGTCCTTGGAATAGTGAAAATCATTAAGTAGAGACTCAGTACGGTAACTTGAACTTCTGTGCGGATCTGTGCTCTGATCAGTAATTCAAACAGAGGGTATCTTCTATACCAAGTAAGCTTACTAATTAATTAATTAAATAACTATTTGAACTACTGATTGGTTGTTATTTGTGTGTATTTCTGAGTGAACTGATGGCACTTTGCCAACCAAGAAGGTGTTGTTGTAATTCAGAAGTGTTTATTCCATTCTGATTATATGCCTGCCTCGACGTTTTATTCTGGTATGCGAAATTATCGAAATGTATTTGATGATTTGTCAGTTTCTTTTTGATTTAGTCTTGTTTTGTTGAAACCATGAGATATTACGCGTTCTTGTCGTATCATAAATACTATGTAGAATTTTGATCACCGTGTGTTGTTTTTTCTCTTTTCACAGCTCTTCAGGTAAGTGGTAGTACATGTTTCGAACATGTTTTTATAAATTTATATATTCGTGGAAGTGTATTGAAAGTTGATATATTTTAGCTGTTATAATCAACTGCTTTTAACATTTGATTGATTTTCTGAGGTCCGTTGTGTTGCTTTCCAATTGGGGAGTAGAAGGCGGTGGGTGGAAGTTGAGAGAAGGCAAGACCCAATGGCCACTTGGATTTTGACGAATTTGTCGTTGAGTCATACCTATTGTATGTGAGCACTAGTTAATGATATAATAGTGTTTTTGTGCCATATTGTCCAGAGATTTTTTAAAAAAAGGTTATTTTTGTAATAAATCTCATGTGTTTTTATGTGAACTAGCCTGGAGTGCTTTCTTCCTTCTCAGAGTGCATGTTATGTTGTTCGCTTATTTTAGTGAACTTTCAAGCAGTAATAACAGTAACAGCGGTGGGAGTAGTAGAAGAAGAACTGTGGTTTGACTGAAGTTCACTGGTGGTGATGATGATGATGATGGTGTAGGTGTGAGTTATCGTCATTCATAGTGGATGAGTGAGATTACTGAACTCACGTGGTACTCACACATTAAGTTGAGAAAGACTGTAAATAGATGAGATGTGGGAGGAGATTGTGGAAACTTTCAGACTGAAGTGTAGGTGTTTGTTTTAAGTATAGCCGTTTCATCATAATTGTGATGAATCGGCGGGTATTAGAGTACTGAAGTTATTTCGCTCTTCTTTGTAAAGCACATGATGACTGCCATTCGTCTTTGACAACCAGCAAACATGGATTTTGCCTGTCCATTAATCCCTTTATATTCTAGGTGGTATCAGTTATCCACTTTCATCCTTACTGCATCCTCCCTCCCTTCTTCCTCATCCCGTCTACTCTGTGGGAGAAATACTCACTGAAGTCAACATAACTCACCTAGTATTGTATTGATAGGATTATTATGCTCACAGTTTTGTAATTTTTGTGAAATGTCCCGTCTAAATGCAGTTTTTTCTCCCCTTATTGTGTGTGTGTGTGTGTCAAGGCAAAATACCAGTCGAGGAAAGATGAAGCGAAAGAAGTCCTGCAAGCCTTAGAAGAATTAGCAATGAATTATGACCAAAAGGCTCAGGAGATTAATGCGAAAGCGAAAGAACTTGAAGAGACTCAGGAAACCTTGCTACTACAAACCAGTTTAATGCATAGTAAAGACTGTGAACTGTCACAGTTAAAGGATGCACATGAAAATCAGAAGAAGAAATATGCTGAAATGATGTCTAGCCTGTTGAAGGATCTAATTGATGTTGGTGAATGCTTGAATGATCGAATCACGGTAGGTTTAAAAGTATTTATGAATTTTGTTTTATTATTGAATGGGTTGTT